TTTTTAATTAACTATGATATATAAATAAGAAAAATATTTTCCAATAACAATTATTAACAAATTCATAAATAAGTAAACAAAATATATATAACAATTTATAAACAATTTTCAAGAAAAATGATTCTTATTAAACATAATATAGGTTCACAGTTCTATATATGTAATTAAATTATCTACATACTCATTACATACATACGAATTACATACGCAGAGATTTTAAAATTGAGACTATACAACAATAAGTAACATTCATTAACTAGATCTATCATATTTTATGTCAAAATTCTACATTTACTTATATTATTATTTCAATAGCATGTTTCATTTCAGCATAGAAATTAAGCAACATCGAACAGGATCCCAAGTAGCATGGTGGCCGTTTCAAAAACATGCGGTGATACAAGATAAAAGAAGTTTCATCACTTTCTCTCATTTTTTTTATTTTTTATTTTTTTCCACTTATTTTCCGTAAGGAGTGTCACATATATTATAGATTTTCAGTACTAACAGTCAATATCAGAACGTAACTGTAATTTTTGTCGACATCTTGCTACCTGGGATATATTGAGGATATACTTATTCAGACAAGCTAATTACAGAATATAGATATATTCAGTATATCTCCATAAATTACCAGTGAAAATCTAAGGGGTAAAGTAACGCGGACATAATAAGTTATTAGTATATACTCGATATATCATATACGAATCATATCTCGAATATTATGCGAATATTGGGATATACTTTTGCGATATCTTATAAACATCTTATAAACATCGTCATGATCTATATGGCTGTCTGGGTGCTTAGCTATCAAAAATTACCAGATCATTAGATCTAATTGTTTCTAATAGCTGAGCAGTGACCATTATTTCAAGAATTATTTTACACTTTTTCATGATTTTCACTATTTTACACTTTTACATGATTTATTGGGCAGATATCTTACTTTCTGGTATTTTTTACAAGTTTTAAGAATATGAAAATATCATGTTTTTAAGGGAAAAGTACAAGATAAAGATATAAGAAGTAAGAAATTTTTTACATGTCATTTCTCGTCTCTGACGTTACACAACCCATGTCGTGTAGCGAGAGAACCGAGCCTTAATTACTATCTTTCTTAATTAATATATAAATAAGAAAAATATTTCCCATATTTAATACAATTATTGACAAATTCATAAACAAATAAATAAAATATATTCAACAATTTATATACAATTTTCATAATAAAAATGATTCTCATTAAACACAATATAGGTTTACGCATATATATATGTAATTAAATTATCCACAAAAATTACATATGCAATTGAGATTTTAAAATTAAGACTATTTATATGACAATATAGTAACATTTATTAATCAGATTTATCATATTTTATGTTAAAATTCCGTATTCACTTATCATCATTTCAGTTGCAGGTTTCATCCCATTATAGAAGTTAAGCAGCATCGAGTAAGATTTCAAGTAGGATGGATGATCATTTTAAAAACATGCAATGATATAAGATAAAAAATATTTCATTACTTTTTTATTTTTTTTTTTATTATTTTCACTTATTTTCCGTAAGATGTGTCACGAATATTATAGATTTTCACGATCTACGAGAGTAGTCTGAAAAATTTTGAGCCTAACATAGAAACAAGTATTTTTTCGGTCAAATATAGTTTTATTTTTCAACATAATTTCCTTTTAAGTCGATACGCTTTTCCCATCGATACTCTAACTTCTTTAACCCCTCCAAATAATAGTTGACGTCTTGCTCCGCAAAATAGGTTACGTATGCGATGACCTCCTCGTTCGATGAAAATCTCTGTCCTCCAAGCGAAACTTTAAGCTTAGGAAACAGGAAAAAGTCGCTGGGGGCCAGATCTGGTGAATATTCGAAGTGCAGTTCGTGAATTTTGGCCATGGCGACCGCCGAAGTGTGAGAGTTCCCGTAAACAGCGTCCAACTCGATTTTAATTTGCGCAGACGTATTGCCTTTCAAATGTAAGAATTTAATCACGGCACGATATTCAATTTTTTCCTTTTTTTTTATAATTATTCCTCCGGTTGGAGGACGTCGGATATTTCCGACTATGTGTCTTCAACCCTAGGGTTATATGACACAGGTTTATCTGATTCCTTTTTAAGTTTCTCTGTATCCTATATTAAATGATTCTATTTATTTTTTAAAAAACTTGTAAATACACTTCAACACTACCCAATCCAGTTCTCTTATCGCGTCCATTAGGTTAATCTCTCCCCTTACCCCCATTCCTCTCAGCTCCAAGTCCATCCCCACTCTTTCCTCATCATACCTCACACATCTCCACACCACATGCTCCAGACTCTCACACTCATTACCACAATCACATCTAGCGTCCTCTATATACCCTTTCCTGGCTAATGATTCATTCAGATTAAAGTGATTCGATCTGATTCTATTAATCCATACTATAAAATACCTTTCCTCGTTAGTATTACCGAACCAAGGTTTTCTCCTTTTTCTTTTGTAGAAATTCTCAAAATAAAATTTTCCTTTGTACTCCGCGTCTTTTATGATCTTGTTTTGTGTATTGTTCCATAATTCTCGTTTAAAAATGCTTCTGAAATCACTATATGGGACCTTGATTTCCTCCGAGGGGAGTTCTTGGGAAGCCTCCTTCGCCAGTTTATTTGCCATTTCATTACCCCTGATCCCTTCATGTGCAGGGACCCATCCTATAATGATCCTGCATTTCTTGCTTTTTATTATCTTCCTATAGGGATCTGGCTTTTATTATATACATATTTTTGTATACCTGAAGTAGATTGTTCTCTAAGGCCTGTATAGTTGACATTGAGTCAGAGAGGATTAAGTAGTTTCGTCTTTCTTCTATTTTTTCCTGATATAAAAGTTCTAGCATGGTTTTGACTGCAAAGGCTTCTGCTGTGTATGATGAACATTCTTTTGGCAGGCTTATATTGTATGCTGTTTCTTGTTCTTCTATGACTAGTCCCATTCCTGTAGATTTACTCTTTCTCCTCCTAGAGCCATCAG